TCCAAGTAAAATGTTAGGATGTTCTCTAAGAATAGGACAGAAATATATTAATGCTTTCATAAAAATCAATGGTGTCTCCTCACATTGAATGCTTTGGAGGATAGGGTTAAAATTGAAAATGATGGGACGTACTGGAGAAATGGTCTGAGGTAAATAGGATGAAATTCAATTAGGACAAAGGCAAAGTACTCCATTTAGGAGAGAACAATCAGTCGCACACATATCAAATGTGGAATACTGTGGAAAGGGATCTAGGGATCAGAGTGGACCACAAGCATAATATGAGTAAACAGCATGACACTATTACAAAAAAAGCAAACAGCATTCTAGGATGTATAAACAGAATTCTGGGAGCAGGATATGAGAGGCAATTCTTCTGTTCTGCTCCACACTGATCAGGCTTCAAATGGATTACTGTGTTCAGTTCTGTGTGCCACATTTCAGGAAAGGTGCGGACAAAGTGGAGAAGGTCCAGAAAAGAGCAACAAAGGTCTAAAAAACATGACCTCTGAGAGAAGATTGACAGAACTGGGTTTGTTTAGTCTGAAAAAGAGAAGATTAATAGGGGACATGATAGTAGCTTTCAAATATCTAAAACATTACTATGAGGAGGGATTAAAATTAGTCTCCTTAAAGAGATGATCCTGCCATGAGGGCAAGTGATTAGACATGATGACCTCTCAAAGTTTATTCCAGTTCTATGATTCTATGATTAGGTGGAAAGGAATGAGCAGGGTTTTCTGAGAAACCTGGATTTGACAAAAAAAGTCAAATTTGTATAGCCTCTGTGACAAACTTACTGTCATCTCACCTCCAACCTTCCTAAAGCTTAACCCATCCCAAACTCCTTGTTCTTTTGTGCGTGTGCGTGTTTATTGTTCTCTCACTTCATTCATATATACTTATATATAAATTGTTCATCTTGTCCTGTTTTTGAGCATCCAGGAAAATACTTCAGGCAATAACAAAAACAAGAACACTACATCTTTTTCAAGTCCTAGTAATGCTATGTATGGTCAAGCTTATCAAACCCACTGTTTTGCAAATCTGAAATTTTTTTTTTTAGAACAAGATTTTCTGAGGGCAGCAGGGTTTGAAAAGAGAGCACTAGGGTATCTGAAGAGAAAAATGCTAAAATGCTGCTAGCCATACCAATGCCTAAAGCAGACCATGACTTGCAAATAACACTCCAAATAATATAAGGCAAGAAATCTGTTTGCTGGACATATGTAAAGAGAGCTTACAAAAATGTAGTCTAAAAAGAAAAACACGTGCAAGTTTAAATTGGCAGTAGCAGGACCTAAGCCTATAATGACGCTTCTCCTCTTTCAAAATATTGTATTCTTGCAGTATACTGCAGGCTATGAAATAACAGTGAACACTAGATAACCGTTTCATCTTCTTCTTAAACCCTTGTCCTCCGAGTGGCGCATAGGTCATCTACAAGTCTCCTCCACTTCACTCTGTCTTGAGACAAAACTTCTAGCTGACTCCAGGAGTACCCCAGTTGTTGTCCTTCAGTCTCAGTAGATCTTCTCCACATTGCCTGTGGTCTTCCTCTTTTGCGTTTTCCTTGCGAGTTCCATGTGAGAGCTTGACGGACTATGCTGGATGATGGTTTTCTGAGAGTGTGGCCTAGCCATCCCCACTTTCTTCTCTTGATTTGAACGTCAAGTCGTTCTTGTCCTGCTCTGTTCCAAAGCTCCTCATTTGTGACAAAGTCTTGCCATTTGATGTGAAAGATATACCTCAGCCATCTGTTTATGAATGTCTGGAGTTTGTGATTTGAAGAGTTTTTAGTATGCCAGGTCTCACATCCGGAATTCCTAGCCATCGCCTAATGTGCCATTTCACATACAGGATCAGGCAATCTGCAAAGTGAAGCACTATGGAAAAGACAGCTCATGTGCAAAAAGTGATAATGAATCTGCCTTTTGTTTCCTTTTTGTGAGGCCATAGAAGTTTGAACTCTTGGCCTTCCTTTTATACTGAAGAAGCTACTTTCACAAGGCACGATAAAAACAGGATTGGTGGCTAAGTAAAGGGTTAACAAACATACTATGGTACCTACATTTCTGTTGTTCCTCGTTAGGTGTAAAACTTAATGGCTGAGACCTTAGTAAGCTACTGTAATACAATTATTAATAATTACTACTTTATACTATTGAGTTAATAGCAGTGTGCCTCTCTTGACTAACAAGTGTATTTTTGTGACAATCATTTTTCTTAACGTGGTAGCAAGGAAGGCCAAGATGTCAGAAGAGTATTGTCTGCATTATTATAGGCAGATTAGGTTTTAAAACTAAAGAAAATATTTAAAATATAATCCAGAATTTATTGAAGTCAGAAGAAAGACTCCTATTGACTTAAATGGCCTTTGGATGAAATTCTTAGGCGTGTATTTCCTACACACAAATTCCAGTGAACACAACATGAGATTTGGGCACCACTGAAGGCAGGACGGGCTCTTAGACAACTATAGTCATTGCTGTAACAACTTAATTTAACTGACATGGTAGTATCAGTAAGTAGAACACAACTTTATTTGTGCAACACTTTTCCTACAACACATACGAAATGCTTTGGACAGCTAAATAATACAAGCACACAATAGCACAAAGAAAAGTTATATTTATTTCATAGCTCATCACAAATGCAAAGCTGAACATTGTGATGTGCAAGATCTACAAAGATGCTTGAAAGATTTGAGAATTTGGACAAACTCTCCAGAACACTGCACTGCTACACAATCCTTCATTTTGAAATTATGTCCAGAGGTGCCTGGAGAGATTTTTCAATCCATACTTGATATGAGGGTGAAGAAAGATGCCTATAAGAGTGTTAAGTAATTCTCTGGAATTGCTGAGGAGAAAGAATCCTGAAAGCATTCTTAACAATGCAGCTGAAGTGCAGGGAGAGTCAACTTCTATAAGAGAACTGGTCCTTCAGTAGTATAGTTATAGTGGATTTTAGTGGAAATAGAAAACAAGGATCTGAATGGCAACATGACTAGATCAAAATGTCTATCACCAGGAAAGATGATAAAGACTGAGGGCCGAGGTCACCGCTGTTTCCCAGCTTTATGCCATGTACATCCGTAGGAGTTACACCAGTGCAAGACAGGGGAAGGCAGTGGAGAATCAGGTCACAACCTATTTATCTAAAGAAAGAAATGATTTGGAAGGAAATCTAATTTCTCACATTTCCTCAGAGATCTTCTGTCAGGATATAGAACGGGCTCTGGCACCGATCATTTCAATAAGACCTCCAGGAGCCTGTGTGGGAACAAGTGACAGGGGTCCAGAATAAAAAATCTGACAATCTACTATCTTGTAGAAGGTTGTAGTATGAGAATGAGATGGAAATTTCTTTATTCTTTTGTCCAAAGGAAGGACGCTAAATTCTTTATTAATGGGAAGAAGCCCAACTAGTGGTGATCAACTTCAAATGTCATGAAAAACCAGGGATACTTTGGCAGCTGGAGGAAAGCGCTAAGACAACTGAATATTCTAGGATGGTGGCTCTACAAGAGCGACAGGTAATGCATGCTTTTTGTTTTTTGAATTAAAATTTCTCATGCTTAAATAGCACAGCTTAAATAGCACAGCATCTTAGATCACCTGATGCATTTCCTCTTTATGACTGTCCTTCAACAAGGTACTTCTTAAAATAGTTGAATCAGGTCTCTAAATCCATCGAGTTCCATCATATTCCTAAAATTCTACTGCACTCTGCTGGAAGTAAACTTGCAAATATTGTTGGGTCATCAAACATGTTTCTTCAGAATTATTTAATAACAGTTCATACATTGATCCTCTAATCGGCAGAGACAGCTCGCTTTTAGCACATACCTTTCAAATTTGGAACATTACTGATTTGGCTGTACTCACTTTTGTTTGTTTTTATACATAGTCTGAGCATTCAACCTTATTTTTGTTATGCTCCTTTCCTAAATGTGCTTCTTTTATGTATAATAATACAATAAAATAATAATAATAAAAATATCAGCAACCTCTCAACTAACAGAATTAACTAGTTAAGTACATCTGATTTCACTGTATATGTTAAAACTGACACTCTATCTTGTAATTAGAATCCCAGGAAAAAAACAGAATCAGAGACTAGTAAATGATACCTAGTTTAGATTTGTAAGCTTCTTCAAACTGGTATATGACAGTAGGCTGGGAATTAGAGATAAAATTAAAGAGGTGAAATGAAAGTAGAAATGTTTATATACTGAATGTAATGCAAGAATATTGATAAGGCACACGCTTTAGTTCATATAATTCAATAAACATAGTGTGGTAGAAGACCTTTTGAGGAGCAAGTGCTTCCCTGATGCATCTTATAATGCCATCTGGCCTCGTTCAATAGCAAATTATGTTTGTGAGAAGTTATTTATGAAACTCAAGAATAGGAGGCATGAATTAGCTGTATGTGGGGTGGGATGGATACAGAGCTGACACAAGCTACGGGCTGACCGGGCTACTGTCTGGGGCGCCCCATTATAGGGGGCGCTGCGCGGGGCTGCCGGGCCAGGTGGGGGTGGCACTGCGCATGCTCCGCGCGCCTGGGGGCGGGGCCACACATGCGCCGGGCACCCGGGGGCAGGGCCACGCATGCATCGGGCGCCCAAGGTCGGCAAGTGCTGTGCGCCTGGGGGTCGGGGCTGCGCATGCATCGCACTCCCGGGGGCGGCACCGCGCTTCCAGAGCCCGGGGCGCATAAATGGCTCGGGCCGGCCCTGGATGGATATACATGAACTCCAATACATATAACTGTATGTATTGCTGTATTAAAGGCCACATTGATTATGTGAGACAAGAAAAGTTTCTCAAGCCTTAAGTGCTGTGCGCCTGGGGGTCGGGGCTGCGCATGCATCGCACTCCCGGGGGCGGCACCGCGCTTCCAGAGCCCGGGGCGCATAAATGGCTCGGGCCGGCCCTGGATGGATATACATGAACTCCAATACATATAACTGTATGTATTGCTGTATTAAAGGCCACATTGATTATGTGAGACAAGAAAAGTTTCTCAAGCCTTTTCTTCAGCTTTCTGATTGAATTTTAACTTGAGGTTTCGAGAAGCCCCTGAAAGCCCATCTAGCCTTGCAACAACCCAATGCTTTGCATTACAAAATTGATGCTTCTGAGTGGGGCTGAACTGATCAGGATATTAGTAATGGATATGGAGCCTTTCACTGCTGGCTTGGTATTGGTCCAAATGCAGCCTGGTATTGCAGTGATTAAAATTGTTATCTAATGGCCTATGAGAAATTAGTTTGATGGTCTCATCCAGTTCTCAGTAGACAAAAGTTTAAATCACACACACACACATACACACACACACACACACACACACACGTACGTATTGGACACACGGATAATTACAAGTGACAATCTTCCTGTAGAACTCAGAGAGGTCAGAGACTGCACAGGCAAAAGGCACTGCCCAACCCCAGAAAAGCCTCCTGCCAAATTTCAAGTCCTTGCTCCAAAGGATGGGGAAGCTAGAGTTTCTCAGTGGAATAATTCCCGGAAATTTATTTTTAACAGGAGCAAAATATATTTTCCCCTAAGCTCACTGTGAGCAAGGGCTATGCCATTTCAGCTGAATCTGCCCATAGGCCATAGCAGAAATCCAGCAGCATAGACAATCTAAGCCCATACAATTTTAAAGTTTGTCAAAGTTCTAAGCAACTGAAAATATGGGTCTTATAATGGGAAGTGTTGGGCAACCTTAAAGATAGGAGCGGTTGTGCTCCCACAGCTAGGGTTGTCAGGTGCCTTCCAAAAAAATACCGCACATACTTGATCTCAGATGGGAGGGGGGACTGGCCGGCAGGAAGCAGGGCTGGCCGGGGGTTGTGGTCGGCGGGAGTGGAGCTGGCCAGGGGTGATCAGGAGGAGGAGGGGAGGAGAACCAGCTGGCGGGAAGCAAGGCTGGTCGGAGGGAGCGGGTTACCAGGTGGCTTAAAAAAAATACCGGACACACTTGATCTCAGATGGGCGGGGGGGGGAGGACAGGACACATGCAAGCTGGGCAAGAGGGGGTTGGGAGGAGCGGGGCTGGCCGGGGGAGATCAGGTGGAAGGGGGGACCAGCCAACGGAAAGCAGGGCTGGCCAGGGAGGAAAGCGGGGAAGAGAATCGGCCGGCAGGGGGGTGGCGAAGCACAAGCAAGCAAGTTCGGCTCCAGGGATTCCCTCTCGCCCCGGCCCAGCCCCCGCCTCACGTAGTTGTGTACTGCCTGGCTGGTAGACATGCTCATGCAGCGTGACTGTGTCTACCAGCCAGGCAGTTTACAACTACATACTGATACTCCTAATAATAATAAAACTTACCTAATTAGAAAATACTGGACATTTTATATGTCCAGTATCTTCTCAATTTGTTTCCCGGACAGAACCCTCAAATACCGGACTGCCTGATTCAAAACCAGACACCTGGCAACCCTACCCACAGCTAAGTAGGGTCAAGACTAATTAGTACTTGGATGGCAAACATCAAAGAAACAAACCAGGAAGCTCCAGGAAGTACCGCTGATGGTTTAAGAACCTGCACTGTATTCTGTTAGCACCGAAGCAATGCTCTGGGGTAGTGTTAAATCTCAGAGAAGACAAAACCTGAGCGTATGTATTAATGAAACAGCCTTTGGTATTTTTCTTTTGTTTTTAAAAATAATTAATGGGAGAAAGGAAATTACAATGATCTGAAAAATCATTAGTTGTTACATCTAACTATTGAAACCATATTATAAATATAAACACTATCAATAGATTTTAAAACCCGTACAATTACACAACTATTCATCTGAAGAGTTCAAAGTGTTTTACAGTCTTAATATTTACCTAAGGTTACATAGCCAGCAATGGACAGAACTTGGAATAGAATTAAAGTTCCCATAATCACAACTAACTCTGTGCTGGTAAAGCAGAAGCATCTAGTAAAATTTCAATGTGGTAAATCAGCCTTTGAGCTAATAACCAATCTGTAATTTCTATATTATTCCACATTTCTTCCTTCTATGTGTTAAGCAGCTGCCATATTCCATCCCAGAAGGGTCTAAGTTTCAGTGACGGATGCATTTATCCTTGTATATAGTATGGATATTTGTTGCATTTGCAAGGCACATAGACATGCTTTTGAATGAAAGACATGATTATAGAGATATGCACCTATATCTAAACTATACAGTGAAAATAATATGTATGTAATTTATTGTTGTCATAATAATCAATGAGTATCCCTAATTTTTTTGTATATATAAATTGTGACCAAGATTTACAAAAGTGATGAGTAATTTGGTGCCTTCAGTTTTCACAGGAGTGGAACATCACACTTCTGAGATTCAGACTCCTTTAATGAGTCAAGTTGACCCTGACCTCAAAAATAATTTGTCATGCTTGAAAATATTGGCTCTTATGTTTTAAATGCAACATTCATAAAAGGATAAAAGAGTTACCCAGAACTCTGCCTCCTTCCCCTTTTATCAGCTGCATCTGCAGATTTTACTTTTTTGATCATTCAGCTTTTGGCATCTAGCCCCAGTTTGAAAAATTCAACACAAGAAATAGTGCAGAATTCCTCTAGATCTCTGATGCCAATTTCCTCGCAGGCTGATAAGAAAGGCAATGTACAATAAACCAATCATGAAAGAAAGACACAAACTTCTCCTCCCACTTTCAACATTCCGACAGACAGTCTACAACTAACCATTCTTAATGGCTTGCCATCAAAATCTGTGGTTTCCTTCAAACCACTTTATTCAGATCCATTTTGGATCAGGCTATATTCTGTTATGCAACTCACAGAACACATAGCAAAAGCCATTATTCACTATTAGAAAAAAATTACTGTTACACTTTAGTAGGAGTCCAGTAATTTTTGGATTGGAGGCTGGGGGCTAAAATATGATAACGTGTGGAAAAAATGGTACAGAAGAAAGGAAAAAGAGATACAGAGGAAACACAGTATTCCATTGGGAGAGGGGGGCACGGGACCCAAAATACCTGACGTGATATATCACCAGTGATGTTCCATAAGTTTGAAATTTAATCACCATTCATAGGTAACGAGAACAGAGGAAACCTCAAATGCATGAGTGACATGGAAGAATCACTTATTCAGGCAAATGCTGAGTACTGCACTGCTATATAAAAAATGGAAAGCCAGAATCACACTGAATCATTGTAAGAAGCTACAACTGAAGAACTTCATCTTTTTTCTCAGTGTTACCCTGAAATCTGCCCTTAACGATCAATCCTCACACACATTCCAGGAAAACTTTATAACAGTTCCCAAAGCACATCACTGGAATTAGTACTGTGATTCACTGTATACTTTTAGCATGTAATGGGGCTGGTGAATAGCAGCTTAAACAAATCAGCTCCAACAGGACACAAGGGATAGAAGCAGGCTCCAGCCTTCAGTCAGTTGCAGGTGAGCTGTTCTCCTTGCAATCCGCAGGCTGAGAGATAGTGCTCTACAGACTCTCCCCTAAGAACAGTCTCTCGTCGCACATAGCTGCAGGAGTCATTGGTGCAGGAAGTAGAGGTGAAGGAGGTGCAGCAGCACCCCCATGTTTTGCAACCAGATTCCCCATGCCTGGGGGCCAATCCTGCTTCTGGCTCCTCCAGCCACATGTCCCAGCCTCTGGGTGATCCTTGCAGGGTCCTACTGACTCCATGTGCTTTGCTGGTCCTCGGGGTCCTGCTGTCCTGGGTTTTCCCAGCCCCTGGGCTTCAAATGCCTGCTGGCCCTGCCATGGGCTCCACAGCCTGTTGGTCCTGCCAGGCCCAGCATCCTGCCACCAGTCCAAGGCTCTGCACCTGTCCCCAGCTGTGACCTCAACCTGAGTTGGTGAGTGTTGCCAACTCTCCTGGACCGGATGTACTGGTCGCCATTTGCAGCAATGGACCCCAGTCCATCTGGTCCTGGCAACCTGATCTCAACAGGTCTAAAAGGGGAGAAGCAGCTTAGTACCCCCGTGCCAAAAATAGTTCCAGCAACACTGCCAGGCATTACTGGAGTTTGAGAAGCATTCTAGTCGATTTAAATATATTAGTGAAAAAATAAAGCAGTAAAAGACTTTGTAAGCAGATGCAGTGAGAGATTAAGTACTGTACTCTAAGGGGCTCAAAATAATTGATCTCACAACATCCTTGATAGTGTTACACTCAAAGACTATAAAGACGGAAATGCACTAGATGGCTTAGAAAATGGGAAGAGAGAGGAAATGTTTTTCTGTCTGAATCTGGATTTTTGTCCACAACTTTTTTATATTTTTAGTGGGATCAAATGCTCTGTACAGCTTCCATTCTGTTCTTCAATTAAGTCTCGTAGGGTATGTCTACACAGCAAAGTTATTTTGAAATAACAGTCGTTATTTTGAAATAACTTTCCTAGCATCTACACAAGCCAACTGCTATTTCAAAATTAATTTGAAATAGCATAGGGCTTATTTTGAAATTGGTAAACCGCATTCCACAAGGAATAGCGCCAATTTCGAAATTCCTATATCAAAATAAGTGCTGTTTAGATGCTTATTTCAAAATAGGGGGCCTCCTGCCCTTCCCAAGGTGCCCTTCTGGCCGCCCTAGCCACAAGATAATTTCTGACCTGATGCCCTGCCGGAACCAGTTCCGGCTGGCCTTAAATGTGATTCAGTCTCCAATCAGTGTGGACGTGCTATTTCAAAATAGCAAAAATCTATTTCGAAATGCATTTTGCGTGTAGACGCGTTATTTCGAAATAAGATATTTCAACAAAATGCTGTAGTGTAGACATACCCGTATTTAATGCATAGCACACTTGTTTGTTTTATATTAATCTAACACGGTGAAGTACAGCCCAGATATTTATCTGTAACACCTACTTTTAAGCCCCAAAGTTCTCATGTTCCTCTTATATATGGAGAAATAGTCTACCCTTCCCTATGGGAGCTACATGGGGAGGCAGGACTGGGGTGGTAGTACTGATGTCAGCCAGTTGTCCATTCCAAGAACCATCCTACTCATGGAAGGCAAAATGACTGTAGTCAGAGAGCCTCAATCTATTACCAAGCATACCTTTCACAAGGAGCACAGTAGTCCCTTGCTCCTGCATATTGATGATTGCAGTGTCACAGATTATTATTCTGGGCAAACCTTATGGAGATAAGGTCAACTTTACTGAATTACACTTAAAACCTTTAAGGCCCATTGTATTGAAAATGCAACTGTTTGTGTATTATTGTGTTATTCTATAGAGCTTCCTTAGCCGGAAGACAGAACTCATGCAATTTCTGGGTGATATTAGGAACTTTTAAGACACCAATTGCACACTGTTTACCTGCACCTAGAACTCCAGGATGTCTTAAACGCCTCATGGTTCCTGTTCTGAGCAAAGAGTGTTTTTCATGTGTTTTCTGTGTAGTCCTTTGTCTTAAAGAATAAAATATGCTTGTTTAGAAGAACCATGTAGTAGCTTAACGATGTGAGCAATTACACTGGTGTTAATCTCTGAAAATAAAGCAAGCAGAACTGTTTAGGCCACGGTTCTCAAACTGGGGCTCAGGAGGTTACTACATGGGGAACGGGAATCATGAGCCCAAACTCCGTTGTGCCTCCACCATTTGTAATGCATTAAATATATAAACATGTGTTTTAATGTATAAGGGGAGGGGTCACATTCAGAAGCTTGCTGTGTGAAAGGAGTCACCAGTACAAAAGGGTGAGAATCACTGGTTTAGGCGGTCTGTCTTTGGGTAGGAATCACACAGCAAGGGCAGAGAACAGATTAGAGTGGAAACCCTAGTCAGAAGGGAGAGAGACAAGTCCCCATTCAAGAAACGCAATAGCTAGGGAGCTGTAAGCCTGAGACCCTGTGCTCTTGCTGAATCATTAAAGGGAAATACAGGGGCATTTGCCCTGAATTACAACCTGTAGGAGATGTAATTGCCAGGTGGAGCTCTGGGCATCTTGTCCTACCTGCAGGCCATGCCTCCTTGGAGCTCTAAAGTGCCAGGTGGGTTGGTAGCCAGGCACTTCTTACATTGCTTTGAGGCTAGGAATAGACCCTCTAATGCTAGTTATATGGGGGGAAGGGGAGAAAGTCCTCATGCCTCTCTTCTCCCCTTACTATAATTGCACAGAAGAAGGATGAATCTAGCACTAAATAATTAATTCTGCCCTTCATCTTTGAGGCTCCAGAACAAATTTTTGTAAGAAAAAAGCTATCTGTGACTAGGAAGGATTTTTAAAAAGTCAATTCACAGCAATAAACAGTTGAAAGGTTAATTATCTCTATGCTGGAAAATGTTAACATCTAGACCAAGGGAAAATGTTTTCATAATTTCAGAACAAATGTCAGCAGTCCTGGAAGAGATCACAATGTTTTCAACTTGTTTCTGTTGTACTTGGTGGATATTTATACTAACAATCAATTCATTTTAAAGTTACAATTCAAAGAAAACTATTACCAAGTCCAGTGGGGTTGTCATCACCCTCATCTCCAGATGGCTACTCAGGTTCAGAGCTACGACCGTCCCTTAGAAGCTATATGTTATAGAGATGGGCTGAAGCTACAAAGCTTGAATCCAGATAAAGAATTCTCTAAAATTCAAAACTCCTCTAAAATGTAGATATCTAAT